TTGCGCCAGGTGAGTATACTCATCAGGCGCATACTCATCTGGCGCAAAGCGTTGCAACCTCTGCATAGAAGAAAAACTCTGCATAATGGATGCAAACAAACATTTAACACTGAACAAAAGACCCAAGATATTCGCAAAATGCCGACATCGCGAGAAATTTTGGGCGGGAAATTTTGAACACGCGTGCGAATGACGGTGCACGTCAGCAAACTATAGATCACGCCATTATAACGAACTGAATTTAATCGCCTGAAGATTGCCACAAATAGTGGCATGAAACTTAAAGTAGCGAGAAATTGAAACATTTTAAGATAACAAATTATATATATATATATATATATATATATATATATATATATATATATATATATATATATATATATATATATATATATATATACCGGGTGTCCCAAAAAAAAGTACTCCGGTTTGATTCGTAATAACTTATAAACAAGTAAAGCTTTTAAAGAGAAATAATTTGCATCAAATAGAGGAAGGACTAACTTAGATTTTGATATATTATAGTTGTATTTCACTTAAAAATTCACGGAGATATTAATGTTTAAAATCGGGAGCATATTTCTGGATGTGTCTGAAATATGCAAAAAACGGCGTATCAAATATTAATTAAGATTTGCCCGACTGAAACATGCACTATTACCAGTAAACAAATGACACTTGACAAATTGTTTATTATGAAACAAAGTATTATTATATCTACAAAATACAAGCACGATTTATTCGTCCGAAATTCGCGTGTGTTCCTAGCACGAATACGTTTCCTTATTTCATGAGACCACTGCATCGCGAAAGATCGTCATGGATCGTTCGTAGTTCTGAATTAGGGCATGCTGTCACAACGGAATTGTGAAGCTCTTCTAACTTCTGCAACGTTCTGAAATCTTGTTAAGAACACCCAAACTCTTTTGCCTTTTCTTAATCTTGGCAAGTTCAGAGTAAACTGAGAATTATATGAAACACAATCAAACCATACAACTCCATAATACATAACAATTATAAGCAACTCCCCAGAGACATGCAACATTTTTGGAACAAAACGTAACAAAATAGTAGCGTTGATACGGTGATGTGTATTTGCAAAAAGAAATATTATTTCCTTCAATAAAGAATAATATTCATCCTGCTCTAACCGAGAAATAATCTACTCAGTCTGTTTGAACCCATTAAAAACATAAAAATTTAGGCTATTTAAGAATACGAAAAATTTAAGCGCCTGCCTTCCATGGTCAGTCTTTCATGTACATTTAAGTTCGTAAAGACCTAATATTAAATACTTGCATAATTTCGGACGTTCATATTTCAGGAAACAATGAGCTAAGACTTACATGTAAGATGTCTAAATCTACGCCATATCCCTTACAAACCCTAACGATAATTCGCTGAAATACAAGTTAGCCTGATATGTCATCAAGCAAACAAACGCTGAAGTTAATATTTGATATGCCGATTTTCGCTAATTTTAGACACATCCCAAAATATGCTCCCGATTTTGAACATTAATATCTCCGTGAATTTTTAAGTAAAATTAAATACAACTGTAATATATCAAAATCTAAGTTAGTCCTTCCTTTATTTAATGCAAGTTATTTCTGTTTGATAGCTTTACTTGTTTAGAAGTTATTATAAATCAAACCGGAGTACTTTTTTGGGGGGACACCCGGTATATATATATATACATATCTATCTATCTATATATATCTATCTATCTATTTATATCTATCTATCTATCTATGTATTTATATATATATATATGTATATATATATATATATATATATATATATATATATATATATATATATATATATATATATATATATATATATATATATATATATATACCCCAACCGGCTACGTACATAAATAAACACAATGGCGACACAACTAGCATAATTAGAAATTACGATTTTCCAAGTTTGTATTCAAATAAAGAATGTAAAAGAGAAGAAAAATACATAACATGCAACATGCAGGATATGCTGCTGAAACCGTTTATAAGTAGTTGAATTTTGAACTCATTTACACTATACAGTTTTTGTCACGAAGCACAATTGTTGTATGAATGTTGTCAGTGAATGTTGATTTTTATTTGTCGCTATATATATAACAAAACGCTTAACATGATGTCTCAGTTCCCTCGGGAAATAATTAGTTTTGTTTTCCCTCGAATCTCAATCTTTCTTGGGAAAACAAAACGGACTATTTCCCTCGGGAGCAGACATTAAGCGTAGGTCTATATTATTTCCTACCGGCTGCGAGGTCTGTACTGAAAAAATATTTTCCCGAGGTCTCAGAAGTGGCCAAAGGTCAAGGGACGCTTCTGAGGCCGAGTACGGACCGACCTAAACGGTAAATAACGTGTTTATTTTTTTATTTGATGCATGATAATGAATTCCGATAGAATTCCAGTTGCGATTTGCGAAGTATATTTGAGATCAGTTGCGTTTGTTACTTTAGTGCCTCACAAACTGCTAAAACGACGCGATAAAAACTGGATAAAACATTAAAAGGCTTTTAGTTTCATTGCAATAGATGCTTCTCTACACTTTCTTTTCTACAATACAAAAGGTAAACTAAATAAAATTATTTATTTTCCTGATCGTTTTACAGCATGAACATGCTGAACATGCTTTAAGAATGCTTTTGACAGACAACTACAAATTTTATAGTTGCCGAAAAACAGTTTCGGGTTTGGCACTAAGTCCGCTGTATTTTACTATCTCCAGTATCGATAGGGTGGATTTTTAAACTTTTTGGGTAGACAGTGTTTTGTGTTTGAAAATTGTCTGCACTTCTCGGTTTGTCTCTAAAAAATAACTCTTTTGGACCACGGTCAAGACATGATATCGTAAAAAGCAGCCGGCTCCTGCATGCAGCCAATTAGATTGTAGGAAATAAAAAAATATCGCTAGGCATGCACAAATAAAAAATAACTAAATAAGAACTGATAGTATACAAGGGAATTTGAATAATTAACGTGATCCCATATTGATTTATAAGGTATATAAAATTATATATTTTTGATTATTATTTTAAAATATGAAATTGGATGTTTAAAAATACAGTTCGTGTTTTAAAAAGATGTATATTATTTTTCTGATTCGTGAAATGACTTTACATGTCAAGATAGTAAGAAATGTTTTGGTCGAAGTGATACGTTAAAATTAAATATATATATTAAAGGTTAATTAAGTAGATTTTAAATTTTTACTATTATAGTTCCAGTCTTTAGCAGCAGCATATCCGAAAGTCCTTTTCATTGAATTTGTTTTAGGCTTCGACAACGTCAGCATGCATCTTATTATTACTGGCTTAAATTATATTTATCAGAAATTGAGATTTTAAACTACGGTGGCCCACAAGGCTAACGACAAATATTTTAGTTAACAGCTAAATGAATATAATATATGACAGGAAAAAATTATTTAGCGAAAATGTATTTATTTGTTTTTTTGCAACATGCATAAATGTTTCTTTCGACACGTAAAAATATATTTCTCGTGCACAAATAATATATATTTCTGCACTAAAATAAATATTTTTAACCAAAAAATATTTTTACTGCTCAAAATAAATACATTTTCGCTAAATAATTTTTTCCTGTCATATATTATATTCATTTAGCTGTTGACTAAAATATTTGTCGTTAGCCTTGTGGGCCACCGTATTAAACATAGTTGAAACGCACATGCCCCAGAACGTGCGTGAATGCATACATGCATTACGATATACACATTGATCAGACATGACTAGGCCTCACTACACTGGCTAGCTATGCATAGTTGTTGTTTGAATGACTATACTGCATGTATACATACAGCTATTTCAATTATGGTTGCATGTCCCCGAGCAAAGCGGAAAAGTCGAATACGAGCGCGAAAGACTTGCTGGGAATCACTAACAAACTAATGAATTTTTAGCGATTCCCAGCAGCCTTTCGCGCTCGTATTCTACTTTTCCACTTTGCTCGGGGACAACCTTAATCGAAATAGTTGTATATAGGTTATCATAATCGGGGAGAGGCGATATCAGTTTTATCGCTTGAGGGACGATATCGTCCTGAAAGTACCATGCAAGTAAATTGAATATTTTCTCTTAAATACAAAACCCTAAGAGCCCCATGCACTCACCACATTTGACTTTCGTATCTCCAACGTAGAAATCAGCATTACACCCACCACAGTAGTTATCAACACATTTTGCGTCAGGATAAGCTGGACATTTAGCATTATTGCAAGGCGGGATTAAACAATAATGTCGTGGCTTGTAAGGAGGGCACTGTCCTACAATACATAGAAATATATTCAATAATCCCGTTGCATGTGGGGAAAAAACAACCGGAAAATATAGATTAAACAACACGCCAAATTATTGTGGGCGAATGGGATCAGGGGGTGAAGTGAACTCTTAAACTCTGGCCAACCCAAAGACAAACCAAAGACTCGTTAAGACCTGCCAGGAGAGACTGCATGGAATGCCTAAAATTACGCCTTAGAGGTGATAGTCGCCGATAGAGCTCTACCATACTGACATAGACCTAAATTAACCAAGAGGTGTAGATAATCCCCTTGGACAGTACCTATATACGATTCCGTTGATTAAAAAAACTGAGTCGATGGACCTGAAGTTGACCAATTGGGAAATAATCGACGCTGAATCAATTTTTTTTAACACAATCTAATTTACGGGTAACTAAAATACAATTTGAAATCATAAGATTGTTATGTTTGTTTGTCCTTCTTCGATGGTCCTTCTATAACATTATTTATCGATGTATATAATAAACTTAAAGAGGATTGATAGTATTGGTTTTAGGTATAGAACAGTATTGCCTTATTTTTGTGATTATGGGCGGTTACAACTGAATTTGGAGGCGATTTGGGACAAAATTCAAAGCCTAACTCACCACAGTTGACTTTTGTGTCACCAACGTAGAAATCAGCATTACACCCACCACAGTAGTTATCAACACATTTTGCGTCAGGATAAGCTGGACATTTTGCATTCAGACAAGGCGGGATCAAACAATAATGTCGTGGCTTGTCAGGAGGGCAATTCCCTATACAGAAATAAATGATTAAAAGTACCATGAATATTTAATCAATTTAGAAATAAAGAGTTTAGTAAGCACCTAACTGTTGTCCGTGGATACATACAATCTTGAACGGTCTGTGCCAATGTATAGGTAGTCGTATGCATCTCTTCCAACCGACATTTTGTGGCTAAATACCAGTGGCAGCGCCAGGCCTCAGAATTTGGGGGGGGGTATTTGAGGGGCAAACTCATGTTTGGGGGGGGCAAGATAGAATTTTTAAAAAGGTACTGCTATTTTCCCATGCCGTTGTCGCAGGACTTTTGTCCCCCCCCCCCAGGAGATTCGCCCCCTCTCAAAAGGGGCCGATATTCCTAGGAATACCGCCCCCGCCAGAGGGGCGAATGCCCCAGGAATATCCCCCCCCCCTTAGGATATTCGCCCCCCATATATGCGATGTGGTTTATTCAAATAATTTCGTGATACTTTCATCTTATTAGTGCCTTAAGTCCTTTAAGGCCCATACAGACCGGACGCTAAGTGGCAACGCGACGCGAATTTTCAGTTTTCAATGACATTTAACTTTAATATTTTTCATTTTCAAATATTCGGAACCACTTAGCAATTTTAGCCATTTGGTCTGCGCATACCTTGTAAAATTTTTATCCGTTGACGGTTTTATTTGTCAGTTGAAAACTGCGGAAAATTCGCGTCGCGTTGCCGAATAGCGTCTGGTCTGTGTGGGTCTTTACACGTTCGAGAATTTAACTTTGCAAAACTAAAGCTTTTTTGTCTTTTTTGAAACGTATTATTGGAGTATTGGCAAGTTTTACTATTCAGAGATTTACAAACTAATATTGAAACTGTAAAAGACAGTAGTTCATGTACACGCGCATTCACTGAGTAAAGACAACTTATAAGCCATACATTTTTTGAGGGGGGGGCAAAATTGCCCCCCCCCCCCTGGCGCCGCCACTACTAAATACATTAGTTGAAGGCACGGTAACACGCTTCCATGTATAGCATGCAACAGCGTTGCCCAGGCTGAATGTTGCCAGGTTCGCTTTGATTGCTTACGCATGAACTGTACACGCAAGCTTAATATGCATGCGCTTATACAGCCATATCTTGTAAAGACACTGCATGAAGATGAATCAAAATAGATTCGAAATATACAGTTTTTAAAACAGATGTGTTGCTAAAAATTCATACTTTTTTCTGAATGGCACTAGTTTTATATTGGTAACAAGCTTCATTAGTTTATTTTTTCCCTGAGCATTAACTTGTCGGTTTTTGTATATATAAACTGAACTAAATCATCAATAGTTGATGAAATATACAAGGTTCGTGCTTGATGTATTTATTATACCATGTAATATTGTTAGTAAAATATGCGCGGGCTAGTGAGACCACATGAGTGGCGTAGCCACCGAGGGGACTGGGGGGACGAATCCCCCCAACTCTCCTTCAGAACCACCTTCGAGATATGTTTAAATCCGTTGAGAAACTTGGGGGGGGGGGGGTAACACTGATTCGATTTTTAGCTAAAAACAGAAAGCTACCATTATAAATAGATAGACAGTTCTAGAAAAAGACATTAGGAAAATTGCATATAGTTCAAAGTCGTAAAATGTATTATTTTTCGTGTATTTTATAAGTGAATGTTATAATCTTCTGAATCCTGTAAAATCTCACTTTAAATTAGATAATTCAAAGTCAGTTAAACGGTACTATTCAGTTGTGTATTTTATGATGTTATAATCTTCTGAATCTAGTTTGTAAAATCTCACCGTAAAATGCACGAAATGACGTTTCATAGGCTCTGAATTTCAAAATTTCCCCCCGGACCCCCCTATATTGTTCGCACCTTCGTTGCTTAACTTGTCCCCCCCCCCCACTTTGTAAACCCTGACTACGCCACTTGAATGACATTTTTACAGCTTGTCTTTGGTGTTGTGTAAAGCCTGCAGCTGCATGGTTTCTGTTAAATTTTAAATATCGCAATTGTGAATGTCGCAAGAGTTGTAGAAATAGGCTGGTTTCGATATCTGCGATTGCGATTTGGTCCGATTCTTGCGATTGCACGACTCTTGCGCTTTAATGGAACCAGGCTTAAGGTTATTGCCATAGACATGGATGGAAATTGTGGTGCTTCTATAGTTATAGAAACATGTACTGCTCTCGACCAATCAGCGCTTGCATTTTTAAAGGTAGGTTACAGTCCCTTCTGCGCATGTCTGTGATTGTTTTTGCCCATCCTCGGTCCCAGGGCCTCACGGCTGACACTGCGTTGCCGGAGGCCCTGGCGAAAACCAAAACCGAAACTTCAAAAATCTTGTAGTTTGCCGGAAGTAAACTTAATAAAAATGCTGACTCTGCATCTTTTTTTGCAAGGAGTGAACTTTAAGAATTTCTCGAAAGAAATAATGTTTTACATGCAAGATAAACATTAATTCGTTCTGGTTATTTCACCATTAAATGTTTTAATGATTGACCAAATCAGAAAACTAAAGGATCATCTAAATGTTTCAATTATGAAAGCTGTTCAAGTTGATGAATCGAAGGATACAATGTGTAGTTTGGGAGAGTCATTGTATACGGACAGCAATCAATTTGAATTTTTATTATAATCGACGAAATATACAGACAATTTAAAAGCGATTGTTGTGGACGAAGCCCAATCTTAATAGTGAATGGTGAGTGAGTGATACTGATATATTTGGTTGTTTCTCAATATTCTTTCTTTGCTATATTAATGGTTATCTGCAAGACTGTAACATACAGACAACATATATTCTGTTTAATACGTCTGGTCTAAACGCTGCATTTTACATGTGCCAAGTCTAGAAAAGTTTGTTCAACCTTTTAAGTGTTACCAAATTATTTTACTCAGCTTAACATGCCAGATGATTGAGTGTACTGATCAATGTGAGAGTACTACTGCTCAATGCATGGGTTAATCAGATTATCTATTGTACTTTACTATCTTACTGTCTAATGTCAGACAATTTTGCTCATCAAGGGGAGAGTGGGTATAATTGCAAAGTAATTACTTTGCCACTTTGGACAAATGTATAAGTTACATATGTTTACTACGTACCGGTATGTACATACATTCAACATTTAAATCAAAATGTCAAACTTTATTATTTGAATCAAACTTTATTATTTGAGTCAAACCATGTAAATTCACATTAGATTGTAAATTCGGTATTTAGACAGAGACAATGAGCATAAAAACCTGAAATATTATGTGCACCCCACCCACCCACCCTTGCCTCCCCCCCCCCCACCATAATCTTGGTATCCCCAGATAACGATTGTAGGATATACAACTACCTGTAAGGTATGGTGTGACTGCATACTACAAGCTAGTATCATATTCAGTTTAATACATATATATGACTTGAAATATGTATTTTCTTGCCAGCCATTTTCAATCATAAAATTATCCATGTTGCTGTTAAATTATGATTGGCCTAAAATGTTTGGCTAAAGATTGTTTTAATTTATAAACATTGTACTACTACTTTAGGAAGGATTTCAGGCCTTGCTATGAAAGGATTGGTATATCGGGAAGTTTGTTTCTTCATCAACTCAGAGAAAGAAGTTGCATCAACTCAGAGAAAGAAAGAAATTTCATCAACTCAGAGAAAGAAATAAATTACATGAACAAAATAAACAATTTTGTGTCATTGATATAAATAATGATTTATTCTTACAATTTCCTCTATGAAAATTTGGTGTGTTAATAAAGATACTGTAAAAAATAAATAACAGCTTTATGGTGCATCCATGCTGTGCTTTAATATTGCAGTGGTGTAGGAAATGGAGGTGTGTGGGTACCAGTGTGCTTGTGTGTGGAGGCCGGATGCTTCAGGTGTTCCCCGACAAGGAATATCAGGTTCCCAACGGGGGGCTATAATCTTTCAAACAGTAAAATTATTGTTTTGTATGTTCAACTTATGCTCACAGATGAAAATGTTGAATTTTTTGGCTCTCATGAAATGGTGCAGAATTTATTGTCTGTAACAGTGCATTTACCAGCACTACAAAACAAGGTCATTACAAAACATAATTTTTCCCAGTACATTCCACTTCCCTGATTGGGGAGGGGCTAGAATTTCCACATAGGGGAGCTACAGCCCCTCCCCCATACCTGATCCTTGCTCTGCCTTGCCCAATTTCTCTTCAAAAGTTTACAAATTATAAATTTGGTGCTGTTGACATGAAGTGCTCCTCAATTTTAAATTTCAAAACTTTCCTCCTGTGCCTATGGTGACTAATTAAACCTTGAAATCTAGCACTATAATTTATAAAAATTATGTCAACTGCATGTAAGAGATTCAGAAGTTAGTTTCTCAGATGTTGACACATTACTTAATACTGAATGTATGTATACAGCATAAAATTAGGAGGCTCATCACCAGTGTAGCAAAGTTGCAGTATTAAAAATATAATTTGTCAA